TTTAACATTTTAGTATATTTTTAAATGTTTATACAGCAGTGTACTGTATATTGTAATAAACAGAATAGAGGCAATCAGCTCTAATATACATTATTTATTTATGCATACTGGACAGAGAGCCTGTCTTAAGTTCGAGCCGTCGGCAAACAAATACACTGCTAAGTGAGGAGAGGCTGTATTCTTTTTTATCGTCATTATAAGTTGGGTAAAATTCTAATAGATCTTTAATCATGTTTATACTGCTTAGTATTTTAGGGACATACCAACAACACTGTTATATACAAACCTCATAATTAATATTATATAATACTGATATTAAAATCTCTGAGCCCACTAGATCCACACTAACCAAACTAAAGTACGTACAGTGGTACCTCAGGATATGAAAAGCTCAAAACTCGAACAATTATGCAAGTGTATTTATGTAAGTGCTTTTGTAAGTGTATTTTTGGGGGTCTGAAATGGATTAATCTAATTTACATTATTTCTTTTGGGAATAAATTCGTTTGGTATCCGCTCTCGAACAGCCTTCTGGAACGAATGAATTTCACATCCTGAGGTACCACTGTACTGTACTATATTGTACATGTCTATACCATTACTACGACTTGTAAATGATAAATGTATAGGTAATCCTGGCTTTATACATCATTGTTCCATGACTAAGACAACTGTACCACACTGCTATGCCATTAACATCTAAACATAAGAAAAGAATTTTTCCTTTGAAAGTTATGCGTGCCATAAGAGGCTATTAAAATGCCAGCAGCAAGGGGCTAGTAACACCTTCTGTATACACCACTAAATATAAAAAAAAGACTCGTTTTTCTTTTTAGGTCACCCTGCCCCAGTGGGATATGGCTGGTACATTGAAAAAACTTGTGAAAATTGTGAGACCTTTACCCACTCTGCCTGAGGTATCCCAGCAAGTGAACCCATCTCCTATATTTTCCCAGTGCTGAAAATAATAGGGAATGGCATAAATAAAAATGGGAACTATGGCAATAGTTTACTTAATAACATAAAGAGCGAGAATACAACATATCCTGATGGAAAATTACATAATATAACAATTGACCTATGAGACTTATTACCAGGGGAAGAGTAGGTGTTATCAGTAACACGGATTTGTACTTACTCTTAATTCACTGAACCAGCTGACCGAGATTTGCAATGCATGGTTCACTACACACAGAGCTGTCCAGGGCTCCTGCTCACCAATCTATCTCTCTCTCTAGCTGTTTCCTTGAGCTTATATGGTTCTTAAAGCACTCCCCTTTCCCATAAGGCATAGACCACCCGTTATAACCTGACTCCAGTTCAAGAACAAAGACCTGACTTAAGCCGAGAGGTGTGTCTGACAGCTATTTGCCAAGGCAGGGTGTGTGACACTTTAATGGAGTTATGTCTTCCTTAGTGACTTCACAAGCACTACATCACAAAATGGCACTGATTGTACAATGCTGTTGTATAACACTGAATTATGAGAAAGGCATAAAAATGCTGTTATTCGTTACCTATATGAATTCAGAGATATACAGTGTCATGGAAGATCCTCATCTTACACATTGTCATGCACACAACTGTATGGCTAAATAAATACATCATTGATTATCTAGCATTGATTACCTGCCATTCAAAACTGTGTGGCAGTCTTTTTAATACAGAGACTTGAAAAATAATACAGAAAAAGATTATATATATTTTTTTTTTCACATATCAGTCGTCTCCCACTATGATGGGGCAATGAATAAAAGAGGATTATTATTATAATAAAAAAGAAGTGCCAAACCACAAGGGCCATACAGCACTGCAGGGCAGAGAGGGAAGCGAGAGTATCGGGTGGCAAAAGGGAGAGGGATGATTAATAGGTTATGGAGGACAGCAGGGCAGATGATAGTGCAGGGGTAGAGGGTAGCAAGAGATTGAGGTAGAAAGGGCTATGGGGAGTGCTAAAGGTATCATCATCAGAGTTTGTGGAGTAAATCAGTTGTTGTCAAAAAGTCAATGAGTCTGGATTAAAGGAGGGTCCATCAGCAAGAAGGGAAGGTAAAGAAAGAGCAGCAGAGCAGAGATGATGGAGGTAAATTCTGCGTGCTCGTTGATAGAGTGGGCAGTCTAACAGAATGTGGCTAACAGATACTGGAACCTGACAATTCTCACAGAGAGGAACAGGGCACCTCTCCATGAGATACCCGTGAGTAAGACGAGTGTGGCCAATGCGAAGATGGGAGAGAGTAGTCTCCCAACCTCGACACTGATGACAAGAAGATATCCAGTAAACCTAGACTAGGTTTAATAGAATGAAGTTTGTTATTGAGCAGATCAGACCAACGCTGTTGCCAACGGGTGTGAAGGTGGGTAGCAATTACAGCAAAATAGTCCGTGAATGGAACACCTCTATATGAAACTGGAAGGTCATGTACAGCTGATCGCACAGCAGTGTCTGCCTGTTCATTGCCCTGTACATCAACATGACCAGGGATCCAACAAAACACAATATCTTTATACTTGGTAGAGATACGGCATAACCAAAGTTGGATACTGAGAACTGGGGGATGAGGTGTATCAAATTTTCGTATAGCCTGTAAAGCACTAAGGGAGTCTGAAACAACTACAAATGGTGACACAGGCATAGATGCAATACACATAAGTGCTACAAGAATGGCATACAATTCAGCAGTAAAAATGCTAGCCGAGGTTTAGTAAATGCCCACGCACGACACTGTCCGGAAACAATGCTGCGAATCCGACGCTGTCAGAAGATTTAGAGCCATCTGTGTATACAGCGATGGCATGAGAAAGAGAGCAGAAGTGGTCAAGAATAAAAGAGCAGGAAGCTACCATAGGCAGTTGGGCTTTTGCACAAGGGAGTGAGAAAGAACAGGTTCGAACAGCTGGAACTTCCCAGGGGAGCAGGGAAAAGTGAGATACGACATGAACATAGAAAGGTGGTAACTGAAGGAAGACAAGAGCGAATGGAATGGAGGTAAAGAGAAAAAGGATGGCATAAACAGGGGCGATGAACAATAAAGAATGTCTACTAACATCGGTGACGATTCTATATATGGAAGGGTTTGTGGAGATCATGAGAGCGAACACAGTAGCAAAGGCAATTGGGCATCATGGCAATCAGACAGGGATGGACTTCAGCGTAGAGGCTCTCAACAGGGAAAGAGCGAAAAGCACCAAGGCATACACGTAATCCCTGGTGATGAAATAAAAGAGGAAAGACATTCACCATCACTCATTTCAATAGCTGTCTTGTCAGAAGCAATGCAACATCACAGTTAATGTGACCCTTTGAACTGTAGCATCCTCACCCATCCTTCAGAGTGCAGGTATTGTACTTTCCACCTCCAAAACTGTAACATCCTCACTCATCCCAAAAATCCAGGTGAATAGTCACATTAATTTTGTTGGTGGGACTGTGGCCATAATGTCACATACCTTACCTAGGCATGGCACCTGATGTAACTACTCCCAAAACACACACACACTAGGGAATTCTGATACCTCCAACTCTAGCTCAACCTGCCCTTCTCCTTTGGGTGGTCCAAGGTTCCATCTACACGTCTACCACAAATCACTGCAAAATAATAACAGATAAGTGATCTATACAGTACATCATGTACATTATTTACACACAAAACATTGGATAAGCAATCACATTCTCCATTCCCTTACTTATGTATTTATTTATTTATTTATTTATTATTTGGACATGATACATAATTGTACAAAAGAAATACAGTGGTTGACTGTACATGCCAAAAGCAATGATATATTCAGTGGTAAAAATACAGTAAACAAATTACAACATGAAGTACAAATGAGTATTTCAAATAAGAGGCTTTATAGTTGTACAAATTTGTAGCACAATTCATAATATAATCTGGTCAAATCAAATAAAATCAATGATTTGTAGTGCAGAAACTGTAACATCCTCACTCATCCCCAAAATCCAGGGGACTGTGGCCATAATGTCGCATACCTTACCTAGGCATGGCACCTAGGGAATTCTGATACCTCCAACTCTAGCTCAACCTACCCTTCTCTCTTTGGGTGGTCCAAGGTTCCATCTACACGTCTACCAAAAGAATTTTCCCTCTCAGTTTTGTGATAGGTGATCCATTTATCATTATGTTAAGAGAGACATCTGTGGTTCTGTTTCCAAACTGTATGAAGTAGGTTTTGTTAATATCCAGAGTAAGCTTGTTAATCATCATCCAGGTAGATATTTTCTGTAATTCAGTATTTACAGTATTGGCTAGCATGACTGGGCTTGGGTGAGAGAAGACATATGTAGTGTCATCTGCAAATAGTGTGGGTTTGAGTAGTTGTGATGCATTTGGTAGGTCATTTATGTAAATGAGAAAGAGGAGAGGGCCAAGGACACTTCCCTGTGGGACACCAACTGTAATTGGCTGCGTGGAAGAGTTTGCTCCATTTGTGTACACATATTGGCTTCTGTTGCTAAGGTATGACTTTAGGTAGTTGAGGGAGTGCCCTCTTATGCCATAGTGTGACAATTTTATGTGCAGCAAATCATGGTCAACTGTATCAAACGCTTTACGTAAATCAATGAAGATCCCCAATGGGACTTCTTTTTTCTCGAGTGCAGTGTATATTTGTTCTAGCCTGTGTATAATAGCATCATTCATATTTTTATTAGGCCTGAACCCAAACTGACAGGGGTTGAGTGTGTTGTGGGAGATGAGGTAGGAATAGATTTGCTTGTGAATTAATTTTTCAAAGATTTTAGAGAGAGGGTGTAAGTTGGATATTGGCCTATAGTTATTCAAGTCTGTTTGATCTCCTCCTTTATGTATCGGGGTGACCCCTCGCTATTTTGAGAACTGTGGGGAAGGTAGAGGATTCGATGGATTTGTTAAAGTGTTGCAATGATTGGTGACAGCACTTGCGAAGCTTTTTTGCATATAGAGGATGGTAAAAATAATTAAATCTCCTGTCTTGTTTTTTAGTGTGTTGATAATAAGGGAGACTTCTGTTGGGTTAGTCGGAGCTAGGAACAGTGTGTTCGGGTAGTTGCCAGTGAGGTAGTCATTGGGTGGGGTATTTGAGCTTTGGATTTTATCAGCAAAGTTTTTTCCTATGGTGGAGAAGAAAACATTGAGTCTGTTTGCTGTTTCAGTTGGTGGGAGTTGGGGTTCATGTGGTTTTGTTAGTTTGATTGCTCTGTTTCCTGATATCTTTTTTGTTCCTAGAATTTCAGATAGGGTTTTCCAGGTCTTTTTTATGGATAATCTGTTCTCATAATACAATTTTTTTGCCCTTCTTATCAGGCTGGTTAGGACTGATGAGTAACGTTTTGTTTGGTCTCTGGTTATGTGACCCATTCTGTACTGTTTTTCGTATAGGTGCTTTATATTTATAGATTTGAGGCTGCTAGGTGTTAGCCACCTAAATTTAGAAGTTGGAAAAACAAGACCCACCTAGTGAGTCTCTGATGTTAGTTCCTCATTAAGTGAAGGAAACGTATTGGATTGTGGTCACTATAAACCATAACAGGATGCAGAGACCCCTGTTACATACGTAAAAATTTTTGCACTGCCACAAGCAAGGCCAGAGCCTCCTTTGCTATGGTGGCATTGCTTCCTTGTGCCTGTTACATTTTGCCAAGAAGTAGCTGAGTGGCATTATTTGCCCTGCTCTATCCTGCAGCAAGACTGCCCCAACCCCTGTATCACTTTTCAAAACCCAGGGTGGGTAACTCAGGATTACATATAAAAGATCTTTAGGATTTATGTCATACAAAAGGTTCATGTACAGAGATATTAAAGTTACAAATATGGGTGTGTCCTTGGCACACATGGTCATCATGTTGTTGTCTCTTATTACTTTGATAGTAAGGTTCTCACTACATGTTCTAGTGTGGGGTAGCTTTTTACATACAGGCCTTATCAGTCTAGGGTAATACCTACATTCATGATTGATCATCCTC